GGGGGGCCCAACAAGCCTTGATTTCGAGGAGACCTGTAGGGTTCAGGGTTGCTGGTATCAGTGTTTGGTCTGTACCCAACCTGCTTGGTGATTCTTCTTCCCATCCCTTCATCCCCACAGCAGGTCAGACCTGCCCTTTGGCCCGTTTTGCCCCGCCGTTTGGCCCACCTCACTTCCGCCGCCTTCTTCCAAGCCAAGCCTAGCCGTCACCTGCAGGGCTTGGTGGACGAGGCCTATGGCCCTCCCTTGTTCCAAGAGTCCGGCTCCGACAGCGGTTCTTCCGCGGACTCCGACGCGGACGAGAGCCGCGACGAGAGCCGCGACGGGACGGACGGGTCCAGCTGCAGCACGTTGGCGACGCTTGGAGCGAAGAGAAGAACGGTGAAAACCCGAGGGATTTGTCACCCAAACTCAGATGGGAAAGAACCGGTGAAATAGCTGGACTGCTCCCAGAACCTGGTTTTGCATGGTTTTGCTGATGTGATTTTTCTTGGCTCGGTTCGTGGCCGAATCCAAGCAGATCTTGCATCTTGGGTTGTCTTGGCTGTGTCCCAGTAAACCTACAACCCGTCGATAGAAGATTACCATCATTTTTGGAAAAGGCCTGCAACATCACCATTTTCCACTGGGCCCAGCAAATGCCATATACATCCATATACCCAAACAAAGTCCAGTTCGACTATATTTTGACCGACTGAAGGTTTCAGGAAATTCCTCAACTCGGGTCACCTAGTTAGGTAGACCATTCTTTTTATAGTCGACTGGACTCCCAGGGTATACCCAAACAAAGGCTTTGTTAGTGGGTTGGATCGGCCTCCCCTGGTTGCTTCAGACTGCAATTCCAGGTCACCCAGATCTCTCCCCATCTCATCCGACCGACCTCGGTCTTCGGTGCTGAAGGGATGCTGGAGATGGACATAGCGATGCCCTTTGCTCCTAGTAGCTTCTTGTTCCTATAGTAGTAAGAATGCTACTAGTACTAAGGCCACAAGCCCCTACTTGTAGCGTCCTTGCTAATAGGGATGGCCTCCACCACTCCTCCTGGACCCGGGTGCCGGAGACCTGGAGACTGGAAGACGATCAATCCTCATAGGAGACGCACCGGGATGTGGGTGTTCCATGTAGGGTCGACTGGAACCACCGACCATGGGAAGACCGACCTCCCACCCACGGGATCTTCCGGAAGATTCTGGAAGCTTCTCCCAGCCAAATGGTGAAGGTGGCCACTGAGACCTTCACCGCATGAACCAGCAAAGCCCCAACAAAAGACCCTTCTTAGTGGTTGGGTGTCTCTATTAAGATACACACCCGTAGATGTGGGGCTCTTACTTGGTGAGGAAGAAACTGGTCTGAAGACGACGGAGAAGTCACTGGTCAGTTGAGTCACTGGTCAGTCGATGCTTTAGGCCCAAGTCATCGGGTTGGCCTCGAAGTGCCAAGTGCGCCTCGAAGCACCGGATCTCAGACCAAACAGCTTTTGGGAGGTCCTACGTCCTGAGCGGTTTTGGGGTAATGGGGCGATGATGGCCAATGGGCGCAGCAAGATTCAAAGTTGACAAGCTTCAATTCCTGTGATGCCAGAGTAGATATGGCACAACACCCGAGACGTGTTTTCATGTGTTTTCATTTCAATCACTGAACCATTCTGAAGCCCCCATCTCAAAGTGGTCTCTATCGTTGTTTGTTGGGAAAGCCTAGGATTTCTGCACCACCGACTTACTTCAGGTCACCCAGACTGAAACCTGCAACAGGGCCTTTCCCACCCAACCCTCCATGCAACGAAGACCGGTTCGGTGCTGGTGGGGATCCCCAGGCCCACGTGCACGCGGCCAGTGAGGCGGCGCGATTCCCGGCGGAGCGACATGGAGAAGCTGCTGGAGGCGCTGAAGACGCAAGAGAAGTTGGTTGAAAAGGAGAAGGAGTGCCTTGGAAGATCGGAGGATCTTGGAGTGTTTTGTTGGGTGCTGGGCTGCTGCGATGTCCGATGTCCCCGGAGGGCTGAGGGTGCCGTTTTGCCAGGCAACGTGTTGATTGGTTGCGACTCTCCCGGACCCAGGAGCCCCAGAGCCCCAGGTTTAGATCTGAAGAGTTCACCCTAAGAATCCGAGCTCGGGCTCTCCATGGGTCCGGGGTCGGACCCGACACCGAAACGCAGGGGTCGGGACCCGAACCAAAGCCTATGTGTTGGTTCGGGCCAGGGCATGTTTTAAATCCTTATTGTTCAGGCAGACGTTGCTGCTTGCGATGTGTGGGCGCCACATAGGCCCTAGGCTCAGTTTCAGAGGTCCGCTGTTTGAAAGGACGATACTACTTGTTCACTCACGGAGTAAACATGGTTAACTATTGACCCTAGAAGTCCAAAGACTCTATTTTGCCCCACTGAAGTAAAGCATATTCCTTTTCGGGTCACCTAGTTAGACCATTCTTTTGATAGTCTGACTCCCAGGATAGATCTTATGAGTCTGAGTTATGAGTTGTTACTATGCGGCAAACGGACCTTGCCGGAACCACCGGATCCTCGTGCCCTGATGACCGGATGGATCGCTCCGGACCGATCCCTTCGAGCGCGGCCACTGGCCGAATCCCGTCGTGGACCCGTCACCGGCGCCCGACCCAGCAGCGAACCGGTCTCCTGTTGCAGGGTTGGGTGGGCGTGAGGCCCTGTTGGAGGTTTCAAGTGGTGACCGTCGACCTGGTTTCAGTCGGTGCTGGTAGGGTTCTGAGCCACCTCTGTTGGTGGACCCTCCGGTTGGGTCGCTCAAGCTGAATGACGTTTCGTTTCGTGACGTTGCGTGGCGTGCGTGTCTAGCCTCGGTTTAGGAGGGTGGCATCCGTGCGGCTAGCTGTTGCATTCTGTTTAGGACTCTGGTGATGAATCGGGGAGAATTGAAACTCTCCACTCAGACTCCGCCAGGCACCCTTGCATGGGCCCGCGTTCACCATCGTTCACCCCGTTTTCGGATGGATCCTGGAGAACGGACGAAGGTTCTGCAGTGGACTTGCGAAAACCCGACGAGGCACCAACGAAGCAAACTCTGAGCATGGAACACCATCCCCTCCAGCACCCGACTCTACAGGTCTCCTCTAAAGGGTTGGAAAAGGCCCTAACAGGTCTCAATTGGTGACCTGTTGGAGGGTGCTGGCTATAGGGATCCGTTTCCGTACCGAACCTGAGGTTAGGGGATTGGAGACTGTTGATGTAGGCGCCGACCGGGTCGGGCCCAACAAGTACCGAACCTGAGGTTCGGTATGTGGATCCCGAAAAAAAACACACAAGGTCGTTTCATGATCTTTCTGCATCCCATCGGTCTCCTGGGTCTTTGGGATCTCTACACTATCCCTAGGGATCCGTTTTCGTACCGAACCTCAGGTACGGTGGGACTGGGGGGGTGGTGCCATTGTCGGGTCCAGTCGTGCCGTACCTGAGGTTCGGTACGAAAACGGATCCCTATCCCCTGGGAGTCCAGTCGACCATTTGTAAAACGGTCTGACTAGGTGATCCGAGTTCAGGAACTTCCTGTACGTGCAATGGTGCCGAAAATAGTCGAACTGGACTTCTAGGTGCGGTCTCAAAGGTCTCAAAGGTGCGGCACCTTTTGGGTTCGGCTGGGCTCCGCTTCTCCCGCGCCCTTCACCCCCACTCCAGCACCGCCAAACGGAGCGCGTTGCTTCGACGGAGCTGCGTGGCGCGTTGAGGTATCGCCAGGCTGAGGCAACTGCCAACAGGTGGCCGTTCAGAAAGGGGTGTCTTTTGGGAGCACGGTCGATTTCTTGAGTAGGTTGGAGGCCATCGCTAGTAGGTTGGAGGCCATCGATGATTTTTGTCATCATGCATAGAGTTCTTCCACAAGAGTTGACAAAACTACGGACATCATTTTTAACGTCACGATACTTTGCTTTACTATATCATTTGTACAAAGGAAGTTTAGAGGAACTTCTGTGTTACGAACACTTACATTAGCTGTAATTCTAGATAATTGTTCTTATAGGAAACTTCCGCCGCCGGCTTGCCCGGGAACTGCTCGTACAAATGTATTAATCTTTTAAATAATACTGCATGGTCATATTCTTTTGGGAAGGTCGATCAAAAGCTGCCCGTCGTGTCTTCGGGAACTCAAGGGTGGTGAAGACCAGTAGCATATTGGAATAGCCCATCGCCAAGTCACAAATCCGGAACACCAGCATTCCAACAGAGGTTGAAGAACCCTATAGGCTATCTGATAGGTATCCCAGTAGGGTCTTATAAGGTTGCTTAACCTCTGTTGGTTTGTAAGATCGCCAATGAGCAAACATAGCACTTCTGAAGCTCTGGGTCTGTGGCTTCCGAGTCTTTGGATTCGGATGAGCCTCGGGCGACCTGGTCCGAGCTGTTCCGCGCTGGGGCGGACACCTCCACTTTCTTGGGGGATTTAGATGCTTTGGGTTTGTCCATGTTGGTCCGTTCTTACCTGTAACTGTTTGCAAACAAGCAAATCACTATTCTTGAACAAGGCCTGCAACCTAACCATGATCATATCATCCACTGTTACTGGTAATGGGATGATATACTGGTATACCCAAACATATGATCAGTTTTTTTTTTAAAATGTGTGTGTGTGTGTTCGCCAGGTTCACTGTTACACATGCACACTTCAACTGGACTTGCAACGCCACGTGTGGATCCGCTAGCATGTGCCACAGAAGTGAGGGGGTGGGGGGGGGGGGGGATGGTGACGTTCGTCGCCCACCATGTAGGTAGACCCTGCGCATGTGATGGTTTTGGTGGTATGCCACATGCCGGATGGTCCAAACCCTTGGGCTAGGAGAATGTGCATCCAAAAGTCTTGAATTGACCCTACTACCCTGTGATTGGTAGAACCCTTTTGGGGCGACTGGCTATACTGAAAGCTACATCAACGTATGCAGTGAAAGAGAGCTTTATCAGCACCACCCAAACCAGGAGTGAGAGAGGTTATTTGATGCAAAATACACGGCCAGGGGGGTCAATCAACCACCCAAACTGGGTGGTGCTGGTATAGACGCTCACGCAGCACGCACCTCGGCTGACGCTCACGCAGCACGTTCGACGACACACAGATCGGGTGCGGAAGGCAGAAGATGACCATCATCGAAGAGCAGAACGGCCAGTTGGTGGAAGAGAAACTGAGCTGTTAAACAGAGTGGGTTGGGTGGGTTTCGGAGCTTCACTTTGGTAGGTGAAAAGTGGGGCAAGGTTTAGTGCATGAACCTGTGAAGCTTCTTTCACCCAACACAGAACCAGAGTCCGGAGTCCTAAACACAACAGCTATGCTATTTGGGAGTTACAACCAGAGTTATAGTCATCGATGTATATTCTCGGAGTGATTGTATGTGGAGTTGCCTCAATCCATGGCCTTTTAGGCGCACTCATTGGCTAAGCACCTAAGAAACATCAGTGCAGAGCCTTGGACCAATTGCTGAAATGGCAAACATTTCCCCACAAGTTCTACCTGTGATTTCCTCAAGTTTTCTCCAGATCTCCAGTGGACACACTCGGTATTGACACTGTCTTTGAGATTTGTCATTTCATCGTTCAGACGTGTGTTCTCTGGGGATGGGTGGATTGGTGGATTGTAGGTGGATCAATGTGTTTTTGGAAGGGTACTACTATATGATCAGATCCACAATGTACTACTCTTGGAGGGAGACATGTTGCACCACCTTAGAGACAGGAGAAATCACAAGTCTCAGGCTTTTATCCCAGCGAGTTCCTCCATCAAGTCTTCTCCGACTCCCTGAAATGTCCAGGATTTTTTGGGTTTCGCGGCGGGTGGTGGGTTTCGCGGATGCTTTTTTTGCCTCCATCCTCCGACCATCGAGTGAGGGTCCTCGCTCCTTGTATAGGAAGGAGACCATGTTCATCCATATGCCACGTCCATACTTTCAGGGTAGGATCCTGCTATTAGATCAGGTGGGGGGATGGGAAAGCACCTCGTGACTTCCCGCGTGAACACGTCATTGGCTGGGTCGTGCTGTGCAGCCATCTGAGGAACCGTCAGCAGGGTGAGGAGCTTCGTGCCATTCGGATGCAGCTCCTTGGATGACCGGAGGTGACCGGAGGGGACCTGAGGGTGAATAGCACGAAAACGGATGCGAAACCCTGGACTCCGGAGTCAATAGAACCCGAGTTCCTCTTTCTTTAAAGGCAATGTCACTGTCAATCAAATGTAGACTCTTAGATGAATAAACACCCATATCATTTAATAAGAGGTGTTTCAATCCAATCCATGTCTGGAAGGTTAAGCCTACATGACCACGATCATGTCTGGGGGGGCATTTGGGCTTCGCCGCCGGGATCACCTGGCTGGGCACCGGGCCAGACAAAAAAAGACTCATGGCACCGGGACCCCCCAACAAAACAGGCCATGCAGAGATCATTTAGAAGAAGGGGGAGGACAGGAGGACGTTTGGAAGTTCGGAGACTTTTTTCGGAGAATCGATGCATTTCGAAGTCATTTGGTAGACTTGGAAGAGGTCGATTTCACCACCTCCTCAGGCCGTTCGGGCCTTCTCAGTCTCTGAGTTGAAGCTGAGAAATCCGATGCACCACTCCACCCATTTTCGAAATCGACATGTCAGTCAGCCGAACTGAACATAAACAACTACACTTGGATTTTGGCTCAAGAAACAAGTGCGGCAGCATGCGGCAGCTTTTTTAGCTTTTGGTGTCGCATGCTCAGGTTATGAGCCCAAGCGGCTTGAGCCATGTCGTCGGCAACGATGAGAAGAAGAAGAGCTGCTGGCGAGAAGGCGGCTGCTGATGCAGCACCCGTGGTGATCGGTGAGGCTGATCGCCGCTTGGATGCGCTGATAGAAGAAGAGGTGAGGAGGTCACGCTCGGCGGATGCGGGGCCAAGGAGGGCATCAGATGTGGGAACCACTCCTAGGGGTCCACCAACCTCCTTTCGACCACCTGTGGCTGGGCCATCAGAAGGCAACCCCAAAGCGCTGGAAGACGGTGGGGGTGTGGGGGCAGCAACGCTGAAGTCAGTGAAGACCAGCGAACCTGTTGTGGTACCCTCGACATCGGCTAGTTTGGCGGTTGGGTTGGGGGCACTTCATGATGCGGTCCAACGAACTTATCATGTACTTCAACAAGCACTAGCGGGACAACCTCAAGGTCAGGGTCTATTAGCACCTCTTGGACCTGGCACTGATCCGGGAGCTCGAGGAGGGCTGTTTGGTGATGGCAATGGGTTGATGAACCCGAGAGCCTTGGACTATGGGCAGGGGATGGGGCAAACACCGGTTCGGTCACCCAACATCAATCCATTTTGGAGTCCAGGGGTTCAGGAGGCAGCGAGGAGAAACCTGGTGGAGGGAGGTCAACCTGGAGGTGAAGGTCTTCATCCTGGAGGTCATGGTGAAGCACGGACGTGTGGGAGCACTCCGGCGGCAGGTGCTGGAGCTATGGCACAGGACTCGGGTTCGACATCGCCGGGTCCGGATGATGTTGAAGCCCTGAGAACCAGAATTCTTCGGGAAGCAGAGGAAACCTTTCAAAGGGAGCTTCGTCGACTTGGCACATCCCGTGAACCAACGGATACGACTTCCTACAAGACGGTTTCGAGTGGTCAACACTTGGGAGACCCTGCACCAGATCAACCCCCTGGACTACCTCAAGGGCGACACCCAATGTCGAGCTCTACCTTGGACCATGGATCTGGGCAGAAGGTGGTGAGGATTGGTGGTGGGGCGTCGACCGCATCGACGACGGAGGCGCTGAGGAATCTTGAACTTCCTGCCTTACCTTCCCCGAATGTTGAAGGGGCTTCAATCCTGTTTGGGGACTGGCTCACGATGAGTTTTCCATTGATGGCTGACATCTCGCACAGCGCCAAGGCCTGGTGGGAAGAGTCGCTCTCCATTGCACAGGAGCACTATGCCCGTTGGCTGACGATGACTCCCCTGGAGCGGCTGCGCGCAAAGCCGGTGGTGGTGGTGGAGCCTGCACTGCAGAGGATCGAACAGCGGGGCATTGCAATGTTGTTGGGAGCATTGCCTGATCAGCTCCGGCGTGATCTTGTCAGTGGGCGACAGCTCTCGGTGGTCCACATCCTGTACCGGTTGCATGTGGCATACCAGCCGGGAGGAGGGGCTGAAAAAACGCAACTCCTCAAAAGTTTGGTGGAGACGAAGTTTGCCACGGGGACGTCGGACTTGTTAACACAAGTGAGGTTATGGCGACGATGGCTGACCAGAGCACAAGAACTCAACCTCACCCTACCTGACCCTGTGGTCCTCATGGTCACTGTGCAACGTATGGTTGATAGTGCCACCAAATCAGGCGGAGCTCAGATGGCCTTTCGAATTGCAAACGTGAGGCAAGAATTGAGAGTTGATTATGCGCCGACGGTGGAGGCAGTGATGGAGTTGTCTGAGTATGTGCAGGCGGAGGTGGAAGAGGTTTCGCTGACTACACCAATGAAGTCACAGCCGGCGACCACCGCAACTGGAGCTGCAGGAACCCAGCCGACTACATCTGTGAAGGCTATGGCGTCTTCCTTCGGGGTCACGGAATCGGAGGATCGGTCTGCCCAGAAGCCGGCCTGCAAGTTCTGGAAGAGCGAGGAAGGTTGCAAGCGTGGCACCAATTGCACCTATGCCCATGACAATACGGACATGAAGGGTCGCTGCTTCAATTGTGGTGGACTACACATGAAGAAGGACTGTCCGAACGGGGCGAAGGTGGTGAAGCCAGATGTGAAGAAGGTGGCGAAGGTGAAGACCGCGAAGGATTCCGACAAGCCAGAGACGGGGGAGAAGCCTGTACCAGAGACGGGCAAGCTTGAGGATCTTCGTGCAGATGGTGGATCACCGCCTACAACGAGGGCAGAGGGGGTGTCGGACAAGCCGCAGGGCCGGGATGCCACGGCTGAACTGTTGACGGAGGCAACATCGCTTCTGAAGGCATTGAGGAGCATGAAGATGCTGCGATTGAAGGAGCTGAAGCCACAATGCTCAGATGGTTGTGAAGCAGTGGCTCTCTTGGACGGTGGCGCAACAAATGGACTACGCCGAGCCCGTCCTCATGAGATGGCAAGATTGGTCCCAGTCACCGTGGAATTGGCATCGGGATCGACGACCCTGTTCCGTGTCAAGGAGCACAACACTTTGCTGACCAGGGACAACGTGGAAGTGATAGTTCCCTTGCACCGACTGGTGAAGTTGGGCTACAGGTTGCAGTGGACCTCGGCTGGCGTGAAGATCACCCATCCTCAAAGTGGAAAGATTGAGTGCAGATTGTGAGGCGGTTGCCCTGTACTTCCTGAGAAGCAGGCCCTTGCTTTGCTGGACATCATGGAGAAGGAGGATAAGGGGGAGCTGATGCTGGATGAGGAGGTTCGCAAATGGTGGTCATCAAGATTTCCAGAGGTTCCTCAGGAGGTGTGGAACTACATGCGGGGTCAGGACCACTACAACCCGGAAGAGTGTCCTTGGAACCGGCATCAACGACGAAGACATCCACATCTGGTGTGATCATTCACCTGTATTCCGGAAAGGACTGCAAGACCTGGACGGCAGAAGATTGGAATGGCTATGAGATCCTCAACGTGGACATTGCCTTGGGCACCCAGTTCGACATGCATGCAGTTGGAACCTGGGGATACTTATGCCATCTGGCGAGAAATGGACATGTGGTGGCGGTGGTGGGGGGGACCTCCGTGCAGGAGTGTCTCTAGACTACGACATCGAGAACCTGGTCCACGGCCGTTGAGGGGGGCGAGATGAAAGGCGCTTTGGACTGGAAGGCTCTTGTCGGCCATGGAGCAGGACTTGGCCTATGGGGACCTGGCGTTGGTCTTGAAACAGATTGGACTATGGTTGATGGCGGAGGAGGCCAGGGTGCGCTTAGAAGGAGGTCCAAAGCATCGTTCCATTCCCCCTGCTTACCTGATGGAGTCTCCGAGGGATCCGGCAACATACATGAAGGAGGAAGCCATGGAGGAGGACATGCCTAGCTTCTGGAACTTCCGAGAGATTCAGGACATGATGGAGGTCATGAACGCGAAACTCATCACCCTGGACCAAGGCCCAGTTGGGCACGTCAAGAGAAAACCCACAAGCCTCATGGTGGCCAATATGCCAGACATGGAGGAATTGGACGGCATGACAGGTGATGGAACTGGGCAGGAGACGGCCACTACATTGCGAGGACGGCTATGTCAATCACGAGAATGGTCGGCATGGGCACCTGGGCTTGTGGCTGCGATCCAACTGAGTCTGAAAAGATACTTGGGCAGGTTGAATATGTCTCGACATGACGAATGTGATGGTCAACCTGCACTTCATCGCCTGGATATGGAGGCCTGGAAGGAGCATGTGAGGAACCAGCATCAGCCCTACAGAAGAGACTGCAGGCGATGCATGGAAATGATGGGCATGGATGCACCCCATCGCCGAACTCGTGGGGATCGAGCAGCCTACTGCCTGTGGCGGAGGGGAGGATGTGGGACTGGGAACCAGAGCGAAATACATTCTGGTTGCAACAGTGGCCATCCCACGGCTACCAAGAGAAGCCCCGGACGATGAAGGAGGTCAGGAGCTGGATGGAGAAGATGGCGAACCATTGCCAATAGAGGAGGATGATGATGATGAACATCCAAAACCTGACGATGATCAGGTACAAAGACTGAATGGAGCCTGGGAGGACTACATCAAAAGCCTGGGAGAGCCGGTGGGGGTGCAGAACATCACACTGGTGGAACCATTGGAAAGCAGGTCACAACTGGACGTCACCAAGGTTGCCACCCGCATCTTCTGTCGATTCAAGGCTATGGGGGTCCACATGCTCCGGGTACACACAGATAGAGAGTGTGCCTTTTTGTCGAGATCCTTTCAGTCCTTCTGCCGACGGTTTGGACTATATCAAACTATGACGGGTGGAGATGAAGGACCATCCAATGGGCGGATTGAGTGTGAGGTGAACCAGGTGAAGCGACGCCTTCGTCTTCTCATTAAGGAGAGTGGCCTGGAACAGAAATGGTGGCCGGGGATTGCTCGCTACGTGGGTGAGGAACGACTTCGGCGCCAATGCTCTCATCTTGGTGTCCCATCCACAGCACTCTTGCCGATTGGGGGGAGAGTCACAGTGAAAACCAAGAGATGGCACAGAGCAGGCTTTGGCCCTTTGACGGCACCTTTTCGAACCATGACCATCATGGGTCCATCTCCCTTCATGTCACAAGGATATGTTCTGATGGAAGGTGAACAGGTCCAACATGACAGGGTGGTGGTCCAACAAGATCCAGGAGCTGAACGAGCAGTTCTAGAACTTCAAATGGTCCCCGAGCCTGAGAAGCCACTGCGCAGGTTGACGGGGAAACAACCGATGGAACCAATGCTTCCCCAACTTCCACCTCCAAGGTCATCGCCGGATCCTGGACTTCATCGACTACATGCCACTTCCGGGGGAGAACAACCAGTCCAGGTACACAACTGGACTGGGGGGGGAGTCCTTCTCTTCTGTTTGCAAGGAGTGTGGTCTACAAGGGGCGGAGGGTAGATCGATGAAGAAGTTGGAAGGGCGCGAATGCTGTGACTTCTGCGAAACTCCCTTGGAGCAGCCTGAGGAGAAGGCTATGGATGGCACCGTGGAGTGTGGGGTTGAGGAAGCCTATAACCTGACGAAGTGGACGCACGAAGAACATTGGGGCTGGAAGCAGCTATGGAGCGACCTATTGAAAGATGTGGTGGTGGGCGAAGAGGATGGACAACTACGAGGAGCGCTAATGGACTATTTGGAGAAGAATGTCCTGGCCCTGGAAAATGAACTGACAGAGATCAGGGACTTTGACATGGGCTATCAAATGGCTAAGATGGCTGAAGGGGTGGTTGGAGAACATCCCGATGGTGAGCAGCAGCCTCCCTTGAATGTCCATGCAGTCCTCCAGACATACACTGTTCCTCTGGCGCAGGTGAGGAAGGAGCTGAAGGATTGGATTCCGTCATTGGAATAGGAGGTGAACTCCTTGGAACGCACCACGAAGGCTGTTCGACCAGTGTCAGTCCGAGATCTTTGTCATGAGCCGGGCTATGAGGAGATGCTGGTTGTGCCATCGAAATTGGTACCAACGGTCAAGGCACCGGATGGAAAGAAAAGATCAAGAATAGTTCTCTGCGGAAACTTGGTGGAGGACACTGCACGACGAGCTGGACACTCTCAGTCTGTGAAGGAGGAAAAGCAGGTGACCTCTTCTGCAGGAAAATCGTTTGAGCTGTATGCCAGCGGAATAGATGGAGGATCTTTGAGGTGCGCTTTGAGAAAGGCAGCCTATGAACAGTGGTCGATAGGGATCACTGATGTCTCCTCAGCTTTCTTGCTGGCACCTCGGAAGTCACACCGACTCATGGTTACCAAGCCCCCGGCTATTTTGATCGAAGCTGGATTGATTTCTGCTGACACCCGATGGGTGGTTGAGGCGGCGGTATATGGTTTGGACAGCTCTCCGTCGGACTGGCAGGCATACAGGGATGATGTTCTCCGCAGCCTACGGTGGTGGGAGTCAGGTGTGCACTACTGGCTCAATGCGACGCCAGAACCAAATGTGTGGAGATTGATGACTGCGTCTGGGGCAGAAGGGGACTGCGTGAATGTCATGGAGGAGGGTGAAACATCGGGGTTTGCTCTATCCTACGTGGACGATTTCATCATCATGGGCCCCCGACCAATGGCGCAGGCCTTTTTGACGAAGCTGGCCTCAACCTGGAGATGCTCTACACCAACGTGGGTGGTCTCGTCGGAGTGGAGGAAGTTTTGTGGAGTAGAAATGAAGTGGAATGGGGCAAACCTCATGATTGGCCAGCCGGACTATGCTCGAGAACTCGTGACCCGGCATCCTGACCTTCCATTGCGGTACTCGCCGCTTCCCAAGGCCATTGAGCTCGAGCCGGAGGAAGACATTGACCCTACTGAGGTGAAGCAGTGTCAAACTCTGGTGGGAGAACTACTGTGGTTGTCGACTAGGACGAGACCCGACCTCAGTTTTGCTGTTGCTTATTTGGGTGCACGGGTCACCAGATCCCCCAAGGGTGTGCTGAAACTGGCTCGCCATGTCATTGGATACCTGGCTGCAACCCCAGATCTGGCATTGGAATATGGACCTTGCTCAACAGAACTTGATCAGCATGGTCGGAAACAGTCGATGTCTCGGCTGGATGTATTGACGGACTCCTCATTCGCTCCAGCTGGAGGTCGTGGTCACCAAGGGATCATGGCTATGTGGGGTGGATGCCTGGTGGCTTGGGAGTCGAAGTCACAAGCCTTTGCTACTTTGAGCGCAACGGAGAGTGAGCTTCTGGGCTACATCGACGGGTTCACCCTGGGCGAGAGTGTTGGTGCTGTGGTGAACGTGCTGCATCAGAACATCCTCGAGAAGGGGCGTTCACGCTCAGGGGGGACAACATGTCGGGCTTACAGCTGCTCCAAGCTCCGTCGGGTCCTTGGAGGACTCGTCATTTGAGGTTGAGAAGTCATGTACTTCGTGAACGATTGCAGCACCGTCTTTGGGATGTGGAGCACGTGCCTGGAGCGGAACTATGTGCGGACTTGCTGACTAAGTCCATCACTCAATCACAATCCTGGCAAGCATTCAGGAATGCGGTTGGCCTTCGCGATGCAGCTTCTTTGTGTCACTCCCAACAGCCTGGTGATGGTAATGGTGGTGCTGTGAAGAAGGCTGTGTATGTTGCCATGGCCTCATTGCGCTTAATTGCAGCCATGCCTTGTGTTGGAGGCCTTCCACGAATCGCATGTGTGACTGCATTGGGAGCGATCGCAACTTTCGTAGCTAGCAATTGGCGCAAGACGGCAGAATGCCAGTCCACAAAGAGGTCTAACGCATCCCAGAAAAGAACAGAATCAAGATGGCCAAGGGAAAATGAACCTGGCCCAAGTAGGACGACAGAGAGTTCAAGATGGTCTAGGGAAGATGAACCTGGCCCAACTCCGAATCCGGCCGACGATCGCTCGCTCGACATTTGCCACCTTGGCACCCTTTCGGACGCGTCGCATGTGCAGCCATGGCACCCTCGACTGTGTGCTGTTCGCGCCCCGGTTCAACACCGTGGATTGGGCACGGACACTCCGTGGCTGCTGGAACGATTTGCAACTCCCCCCATGCAATGACCGGTGGGAGTGCCTTGGCAGTGGCGATGGAGCTGGTGAATGGTGGGTTCGTGTGCTGAAGAAAAGCAGGGTGAGAGCCTTTCACCCCCTACATCGGGGGACGCCCTTTATGATAGAGAGGATGTCTTCGACGAGGGTGACAGTGGCTTTTCACCGGACCAGTACCCGAGAAGGCTGGAAGCGGGAGGAGATCATCGACGATTGGGTCAACTCCCGCAACGCTGATTTGGCTGAGATCTATGAGTGGAGGGGGTAGCTTTTTCTATGTGCGCTTTGCCTCAAGCGCTGCTGATGAGCAACTGGGTTCTGCTTCGTCGAACCCACTTCCTCCACCTCGCTCGGTGACTCCGGGGCTATATGGAGAAGACCGTCCACTGAGGTCTCGGGCTTTGGAGAGGGGAAGGGCTGCGCAGCCGGAAGACCAACGCCGCCCTTATGCTGCTGTGGAAGCCTCAGCTCACAGTGCGCCGGGGCTGATGATTGGGGAAAGCCCTGGCTACCAAGCTAGGCTGCAGGGCTATGAATCAAGAGGAGAGACTGACACCAACGAGGGGGGCCTGGGCTCGTTCGCTCGCTGGTGATGGCTCGACTCCGGAAGATCCGAATCAAATGCCTGTTTGGTTGGGCATTGAAACGACGGTTGCCGGCGGAAACAGGGAGAATGAGGACACTGAGAGCTCCCACTCACGAGGCAGCTTTGAAGTTGTATGATGGCAAAGCCATCAGGTGGAGTGAGAAATCCGATGCACCACTCCACCCATTTTCGAAATCGACATGTCAGTCAGCCGAACTGAACATAAACAACTACACTTGGATTTTGGCTCAAGAAACAAGTGCGGCAGCTTTTTTAGCTTTTGGTGTCGCATGCTCAGAAGCAAGAAAGACAAGACCAGCGAGCAATCCCCGGACCTGTGGAAGATGTGTCGTGTTTTCCTTTCTTCCAAGACCCCCTGGACAGCAAATCCAAGACCACGCCCGGCCCGAAAGACAAGCACGTCAAGATTGCTGGGCAAGCATCCAAAAGCACGTGGTGAACCTCCTTGGTTTATAGAAACGGTTGTTTCATGTTTTTTGTGGGTGGGCTCGGGATCAAGCAGTGGGTTGTTCTTCAAGACCCAGGCTGCTCCCCATGGGAGCACCACTAAGACCAGATGTGTTCAGTTGTTCCCGAATTTACCCTGAGAGTCCAGTCGTGACTCATTTTACCATCATGGTAGAGTCAGTGGTGGATGGATTGACTTCCAACGGGGCTATAATGGGTCAATCGATTCTTCTGGGTAGTTATATAGCCTTCCAACAAAAGGTCGACCTTATTTGTTGTAGTGTAAAATCCGTAGTAAAACAAGGGTGATTTGGATATCAAGGCCCGTCAAATCAATGGAGGGCCACCGGAAAAATATGTCTCGGCATACATTTTGTGGTCCGATCTTGAGACCGACTTAAGAGATCTTAAGAGTATCAAGCACCTGGTTCGTGGGCCGGGCCCGGTCGGCCGCCCCCGGTCAGCCATTGGGCAACTGCCTCGGCCGTCGTCGCCTTCGGGCGACCGTCGATAGTCGACACCCTAAGGCCTAGGGATTCCAACATTCCTTTAAATGGTTTTTACTTTTACCCAAAGAACCATTAGTTTTACCAAGTGATTCGAGACCAGAACACCAGCTCAGCCATTCTTTTAAGGGTCGAACGGAAGGCTCGGGGGCAGAGCCTACCATCCCATCCCATCCCATCCCATCCCATCCCCCCACCCCAATGAATCTTAAGGCTGGCGGAGCAGCAGGCGACCATCCAACAGCTGTTATCCCGTGCGCCCGCGCCCGCGGCACCGGTGGGAGCCGTGACAGACGGAGGCCGGACGGCATCGAGCCCTTCGTTCCTTCTCCCCAACAAAAGCCCTAGCCTTCAAAGACCATTAAAAGAACGGTTGAGATGGTTGTTTGAATCCTAGGGAAAGTAAAGATCATGGCTGGCCTGCCGGGCCTGCAGAGCCATCAGGGATGGGCCATCCCAGGGATGGCCTGAATGATGGATGAATTCCGGGCCGCAGATCTGACGCAGATCAGACTAAGCTTATAGTTAATCTGTAGTCCTATCATTTCCACCTTTGCCAGTCATCCCCACTCCATGTGTGTTTCGCAGAGCGAACCCATTCTTGCAAAGATGGGCAGCTTCCACACATTTTGGGAAGGCTTTTGGGCCACTCTGCCTTTGAAATCAACCCAAACCAAAGATCCAACAGGATCTTTCCCACCACTTGGGAAGACTGACCTACATCATCTATCCTTTCCCCCTCTGACCAAATCGATGGGGGTGATTTGAAGGGCACATTTGGCAATTTCTTCCCCATCTCTCAAATTCATGGTCCAAAAAGCCCTAAGAATCCGGGCCCTGAAACACATAGGGTTTGTTTCGGGTCCGGACCCCTGCGTTTCGGTGTCGGGTCCGACCCCTGCCATGGAGAGCCCGTTTGGATTCTTAGGGCGGTCTCTTTTTGCTGCCGGGGTGGGTGACCGCTGTGTCCGGAATCGAAGGGCGGGACACCGTTGGACTTGGACCAAACACGGGTTGCCCGCTTCGAAGCCACTGTCCCCACGTGTTGGAAGCCTATAGGCCTATAGGCCTAAGCGGCCATAGGCCACATTCCTGGTAGCGTTGAGTGAGTTGAGTGAGTAGGGAGCTTGCAGAGGTGGTGGGTTGAAGGATGTTTGAGGGGTCTAAGTCTCAGGGGGGTGTCTTCTGAATGACCCCGATCCAGGAATCCGGTCTGAAACAGTATTGGACAGGTGTGGCTTGCTTGGTTCTCCGCTTCACCTGTGCGAAGAGGTCAGAGCTCGGGGCTTCGGTCCGGAAGCGCTCCAAGGATTCGCCGTTCGGGCAGGGCTTGAGGTCCGGTAGAAGGCACCACCCCCCTGTGATCCTGGACAGACATGGACAGACCTCCGCTCGGCTCCCGGGGGGCCATGACCGTACCGCTCGGGCCCATGACCGTCCGCCGGCGCGGCCAGGCGCGGCGTCGGACGCGGGGACCGAGCTGGGCAGCTGGTTGGACCTCGGCAGCGCCGAAGGCAGCGCGGCGGAGGCGGCGGCGGAGGTGGCAGAGGACGAGGACGAGGAGGCAGAGGGCAGTGAAGAGCCACTTGGGCCAGGATGACATTATGGTGAAGGGCGGCCAAAGGGGGGGAATATACATCCCCAAGCCTGGTTTTGCGGATCAGGTGATTTGTTCTTTTCCCCAACTGGGGTCAATCCCCATACCTGGGGAATGTCTCTTTGCAGCCGGTTCCATCAAATAATGCAAAATCCAAATAAGAAAATCAATGGTCAGCAGTGCTTTTTTCCGCGAGTGCTGGTGCGATCGGACGTCGCTTCCCAGAGGATTAGTCGGTCCAGTTCCCCGTCCAGTTAGGATGAAATATATATATATATATATCACCAACTTGGACGGGGCGAGGCTTGCAGTCAGGACTTGGTGTTCTTCATGTTTCTTCAAGCCATTTTGCCGAGAAAAAAAGACACCGGAATATTGAGAAGGGATTGGAGCACTGAAATATGTTGCCAGGGAAGAGGAGTAGAAGGGCCGAAAGCAGTTTGGGAAAGCCGATCAAACGCAGCCAGCAACCCTGTGGGACAAAACGACTAAGCACACCCATATCGTGAACTGGCACATGTTTTGAGCACAATGTGCTCTTTTGAGACGTGTTCTGCACTGACTCAACTTTCATCCCGCTGTGCTAACACCCCGAACGCGGAAGGAGGAAGGCCATGGATCTGGGCTAAAGAGACCAAACGCGAAGGCGGATCACCCCTGCATGCCCAGACGCTCCAAACACCTTCGGTCCCGAACCAAACTGGATTGGTGAGAAACCCCAGACCCCTCCGATTCGGGTCCGATCCCTTCAAAGCCCAGACGGCCCACGACAGGACTGCCGGACTGCCGATCAAGCCAGACCCCTCATGGCCCACCCCGGTTACCGTTTCTCGGCAGTCCGTCATGACAGTCCCAAGCGATCAGTTGGGGTGGGCCATGAGGAAATATAACATGGGGAAAACATAGTTGTGTAGGGAAATATGACATGGAGTGTCTGGGATGAAATTTGCCCCCCCCCAAACCATCCGACTCAAGTAAGGGAACCGCTCAACGAAAGAAACTGAAAAAACGCGGTCTAGAGCAGGCTGAAGAGACCTCAACGGGTGAACATCGAACAGAGCCCAGAACATCCCAGAGAGGTTGAACAGCCTTTGTAGTCCATCCATGTCCATCCCATATGCCATATGTACCACTACAGGGTCCTAGTTCAGGTCTCTCAACCTCTCTTGGATCCCAGAACAACTTTAAGACTACACGCCAAAAACTGGCCCCGAAAAAGGCATTTCACCCGCCGCGCGACTTCACGCCGCGTGGCGACACCAACATGTGCGCTTCTATTCGCTTCCTCAGGTGAGAGACAAAAATATCGTGGATGTCAATCCCAGTGAGTCAAGGGATTTCTTCATCTGAGCCATGCCTTGCGTTGCTTCCGAGTCGGGCCTTCTACCACGCCCGCACGTTGCTGCGCTCGTGTGCGCGTGTGCGGCAGCTGCGTCAGTTTGGGAGGATTGAGAGTCGCGGTCTCCTTTTTATTGGCGCCCATGTGAAACACACCAAGGGCCAGTTGGCAGTGAAGGTTTCAGCCTGAAGACCTTTTTCAGGCTTGTGCAAAAGCGGCTTCCAACCGTCTCAGTTGGGTTTGTTTCAAGTGTCCGTTTTGGTACACCTTTCGTTTTGTGCGTGTCATCCTTTGCGGACGTGCACTCCTCCTTGGTCTCTGCCCTTTTTGGCAGTAGACCAACCTCCAAAAAGCGAGCTCTAGGCTCAAGCCGCCTCAGGATCCGCAGACTTTGCACTGTCGGATCTCAGTCATCGGTCCCGTGACCGCATTGCACCGAGCATCGGTGTGGAAGTTGCCGAGCTGGTCCTCATAGGTGAAGCTCGTCTCTCGAAGACTTCTCTGGCCTCTGGTGGCCCTTTGACAGGCTCCACACACCGGCTGTTCATGAACTCGGTTGGCCTTCCTCAATCCCCTGCAGCTCTGCTGTCTATGGAAGCACTTGCTGGACTCCGCGAACCAGATCTTCCACGTTGGCTCATTGGGGAATCGCCTCCTCCTCCCAGTCAGGGTGATCTGCAGATGATGCCCTCCAGGTAGGTCAGCTTGATTCGGCGGTTCCTCCTGTGGCTCATTCAGCGCGGGATCCGGTCTCCCTTGATGTCCATCTTCAATGCCTCCACTCATCCTGGTACCTCTTGGTGATGAGGATGAAGCACTCTGCCCCCCATGGTTCATTTGCTGCCATTCTCCATCACGTTGACGTGGTTCTCGATCTCCTCCTCCTTGAGGTCTGGTAGAAGTCCTTGTCCCGGAAGAAGATTGACCAGCCAAACGAGAGACCCTCACTCTACGCGTCGCCGGATCGTCCTCCACCCGGTTCCAATGCAAGCGGCATTTTTGAATGACCTTCATGAGCACCATTCCCAGCAACATCATCATGACGCTGAGGAGGTACAAGATCTGGTCACCCTCCACATTCTCATCAACGTTCTTGGTGACATTCTCCGCCATAGCTCCATGCACTTCTTTGAGGGCCGACAGCACCACGACAAGCCTCATGGCCTTTTCCAAGTGGTACTTCGCGACCAATTTCATGGCACGAGGTGCGACAATGCCCTTGTCCTCCTCATGCACCTCGTCAACTGAGTCAGGCTGCCATGACATCCCCATCCGCTGTCTCAGCTCATTAATCCGAGCCACTGGCAACGCCTTTGTGCCGATGTCCGCGATGAGCTCTCTTCCAGGCTGGTACTTCAGCTCCCATTGACCAGACTGGATCCTCCATTTGAGGTGGGCGGCCCGGACCTTCAAGTGTCTTGTACGCCACGCTCCAGTTGCACAACTTGCTATTGAGACTGCAGCAGTGTTGTCGCACTTGAGGAACTTCGGGACGTCCTTCGCCATCTCATCAACCAGACATGCGATGCTGTCCCCCACAACTACAGCTTCGATGACCTCTATGAGTTCGGCTTCCGCCGTTGAAAGGGCGGGGAACGGCTGCTTGCAGCTCTTCCATGCCACCGGTGCTCCGGCCACCGTCGTGATCACACAGCCATGGCTATGAGCACCTCCTGGAGCGAAGGAGGCATCACTCACTGACTCCAGGATGAAGTTGGCGTCTCTTCGGTACCACAAGCCCAGGCCCTGCGTGGCATTCAAGTGCCTGATCAGCTGGTATGCGGTTTGGACCGCCCATTTCGGAGCCCGGCTCGTCGCTGAGCAGATTCGGCTGACCGTGTAGGCAATGTCCGGCCTCGTCTTCGTTGCCAGCCACAAAAGTTCTCCTCCGAGTTGTTGTGCCTCTCGGATCTGCAAGGGCGTGCGATCCAGCTCATCCTCGGGTTCCTGGGATTCCTTCATCATCTGAGCGCTGCAAAGGTCCTCCATGCCATGTCGCCGAACCACTTCCCTCAAGTAGGAACATTGATTGGCAAAGAAGTCTCCTTGTTCAGTTCGGCTCAACTCCATTCCACAGTACCGAACTGGTTCACGATCTCCCACCCACGTAGGTTCGGACGTCTCCCAGGTCCTTCGAAAGCTCTGGAGCCCTGCCCTCACAATCTCTTCGGTGCCGAAGAGCATCACATCATCCACGTACACCAAGGCGAGTCCCTCAACCTGGTCTCCATCTCCGGCATCTTTCCGGCGCACCAACCACAAGTTCTCCTCCGCGAAGCTCTGTTGGTACTCATAGGTGACGGAGTTCGCCTGAAAGGACATCTGGCTGATCTCGATGTCCCTGTAGTCCCCCCAAAGCTTTGGAGACTCACGTAGGCCATACAGAGCCTTTTCCACCAGCCACATTTCCCCCTCCTTTACCAATCCCAGTCGAACGAGGATCTTTGGGGGGAGCATGAGCACCAGGCGCTTCCTCTTGGTGAGGTCCTCCTCCTGCCGCTCTTCCGTGATTGCCCCTTCTCGACCTTCGTGACCTCCTCCATCTTCTTCTTGATCCTCTTGAAGTCGTCCATGAGCGTCTTCCAAGGCGAGGTTCCTTTTACGGCTGCTCTCCTGAAGTGTTCGTAGAGGTGCGTTCAAGAAGGCAGTCTTGATGTCCAGGCTAGCCGCCTGCCAGCCTCGCGAAGCGGCCAGTGCCAATGAGGTCCTCAAGCATGTAGTGTCCGCCCCACCTGCATAGAGCTGAGCTGCTTCCGAACGGTCTCCAGGACCTCTTCCAGCTCCCTTCAGGTAGTTCCCGCACACCACCAGGCGGCATTTCCTTCGTCCGTCAGGGGCCTTCACCGCATGGATGGCCTTCCCTGGAACCACCTCCACCTTGTCTCCATGCTCTCTCTGGTAATAGGCCACTTCTGCGGGAGTCAATCTCCGGATCGCTTTCTTGCCCTCCAAGGACTGGATCTCTTTCATAATGGCTTCCAGCCAAAGGTTCCGGTCTTTGTATACCTCATCGTTTGGTACGATCCGTGTTTGGAGAATCTCGTCTTCCAAGAGTCGTTGGGTTGATGCCACCTGTTCTTGTCGTAGAGCAACCAGACCTCGGCTCAACGGAGGAACTTCTCTTGGAGCAGATCCCAACAAGTGACCCTCCTCCTCATAGACGGCCTGAAAGAGCATTCGACGATCCTCCTCCCTCCGTAGGTCTTCTTCTCCCCGTATGCATGCCAGTGGTGTCTTCTCTCTCAACCTCCAGCGAAGCCGTACAGGGTCGTCTTGGATATGGACCTCCTCCATGACCAAGTCTCGTTCATCAGGCTTAGGCTCTTTGACATCCTTTATCAAGTAGCTCACTACCTTGACCTTCTCCTTGTCCGTGAGAACCGCGTGCCCTTTGGACACTTGCGGTGTAGGGGTCAGGTAGGTCACCATCTCGGATGTCGCTTCAAAAGGTCCTCCTCGCTCCCAAGCTCGCTTTCTCACCGTGATGAGCTGTCCAAAGCGTGGTAGCGTCTCCTTGATGTTCTCCCTTCTCCTTCTTTCCAGCTCCGTGACATGTCTCGCCGCTGCCGGCCACCACTTCGTGGGCATGCCCGAAGCATGTAGAAGTCGACGGACCCTTTGCTTGATCGACGCGATCATGGCCTCCGCACGACCGTTGGATTGGTGTTCATCTGGAGGACTGAAGGTTCTTGCCAGCCCCCTCTCCAAGCACCACCTCTTGAACGGGTTGTTATCAAACTCCCTGCCAGCATCGGTGTGAATCCTAGCCACAGGGTAGCCATGGCGTCTCAGCATCCCAAACAGTTCTTGTGTTCCAGCAAGGACTTCCGCTGCGCTCTTCGAGGCTAGTGGTAGGCAGATAGACATCGTGATCATCTCGTAGGCCTTCTGGTGCTCTTCGACTTCCTCCGGAGTCTTTGGGAGCGGCACCGATGGTGGTTCGGGTTCACAGGGTCCTGGATCAGGTAGCGGCTCTAACTGGTCACCGCCTCCTCCGCCCTGCCCTTCGTCCTCCTCCGGCTCACCCATCTCCAGATCTTCGCCCTCATCTGACGTAGGTCTATAGGACATCTCCTCACCATGAGCTTCCAGATCTTGAGCCAGGTCATACTCCACCTCCCGAAGAGCCTCCTCTTCCTCGAGTGTAGGCCAGTCCTTGTCTGGGATCACCTCGAGCTGTTCGACCTCGTCCCATGGTGCCTCCTCCATGACCGGCCACGTGTATGCTCCAACCAGGAGGTACTTCTTGAGGTCGCCGTCACTGTCATGGCCGAGCACAAATGGTCCTGTCAGATCCAGCGACAGCACGCACGGAGCCGCTATCCCTTGAGCTCGATGTGGTCGATCCCTTGCCGCTGCTCTCTGACAGACAGCGCAGTCTCTGCGGAACGGCACATGCCCCTGGGCCAGGTGTTCCTGCCAAGACAAGGCCTTCATCGTCACCCGCCTCTTCTGGATGTTGACTGTGATGCTTCTTGCGATCTCTCGCATCATTCCTGGGGCCCATCTCGCCAGCTCGGAGCTCGACACCTCATGCTTGGTCTTCAGGAAGGCCTTGGGCGGGCCCCGATCCTCGGGAACCATGAACTCCATGTTCAATGCCAGTGAGGTAGGTTTCACCGCCATACCACCATAGGCACCCTGGTTGAAGGTCACCATGTCCAAGTTGAGGTGCTCTTTCATTACCCTCCACTCTTCGGTTCTCCAGAAGGATGCCACTTCCGGCATGTGCTGAGGCGCTGCAGGCTGCTCCATCAAGAACCTGACCGTCGGCAGCAACGCGGAATTCTTCTCCTGGGACAATCGTGCATCTCGACCCAGCTTTGCCACCACATAGAGCGTCACCATACGCAACAGCAGCACATCGTCCAAATGGCACTTTGCCCTCTCCACTTCATCCAACTCGTCCAAGCCCCAGGGTCTTCCCAACGATCTCGATGGCCCTGGCATTCCTGTGACTGGATGGTGACGTAGCTCACTGCGGGTCCTGCAGTTGGGTCCACCGATCACCGCATCAATCCAGCCCAACATCGCAATCCGTAGCAGTGCTGCATACATTGCATCGTCCTTTGACATGTCATGACTTTGGGTTCGAAGGATATCCACCTCCAACAATCTCGTAGTGTCTCCGCCAGCCTCCTTGAGAGCCCTTGTAAGATCGTAGCCCTCATTCTTCCCAGCGTAGAGATGAACCACCACACCCTCATTTCTCCAGCGCTTGCGGATGCGTCGATTGACTCCAAGGACATCAAGATTCCTTGCTGGAGAGTCCACCAGGCGATCCTTGATTCGGATCGGGACCTTGTCGAAGATCGGACAATCTGCCACCACCCGGTCCAGCCAGTCGACGTCATTGTGAGTCTCCCCAAATCGGTAGCACCTCAACGCCGTTCTCGACCGAGATTCCTCCAGCTCCCTGATGAGGTCCAACGCAACATCATGGTCCATTTGAGGGCATCCAGCTTCAACCCTGAGGTCAATGTTGCCCTTGACTGGATGCTCCAAGGTGCACGCTTCCCCCCACCCATTCTATTCGACATCCCAGATCGCGAACCAGCCTTCCCGCCGGTACAATCGGCTCCACATTCTCACTGTTGTGGACCAGCGTCTCCCCTTCTGTCATTCGGATGTCTTGTGCTCCTCCAGCAGCCAACGTCACCCTCACCTGGCGATATCTCTGAAGATCTTCTCCTCGGAGCTTGGGCCTCAGAGCGTGCGTTGCCCCAGAATCCAGAAGTCCTTCTCGACCTTGTTGGACTCGAGCTATCTTGACTGCCCGTAGCTCTGGGCTACCTTTCTCCCATGCTCGATTCAGCTTCTTCAACGTCGCACCAAGGTCCGTTGCACGATCTTGCCCTTCTTCTTCGAGGTTCATGCCCTTGAGCAACTTGTGCGCCTCATCAAGCACATTCTTGATTGGGTCTGCAGTTCTTGTCGCTGTATCCGATACCGCCTCCGAAGTCACCGACTGCGAGGATGCTGCTTGAGGAGAAATTGAAGCCCCCGACTCACTCCGCGAGGTCCCATTTCCACCACCACCGGTTTTGTCCAGCAGCTTCTGAAGCTTCGGTTTCTGGCCAGATGGAGGTCCTTCTCCCTTCTTTGCCGTCTCTTTCCTCGGACAGTCTCGAGCCAGGTGTTGTGTGGCCCCGCACGTGAAGCACCTCCTCTCCTGGTTCTGCTTGTCGCCAGTCTCCAGTTGATGTGCCCATTTGCACGACTGCCCTCTTCGACATCCAGACTCCGTGAGGAAATATCGACAAGGACCCTTCGCCGATGTCGTTGGCGAGTCCCCCTTCTTCTCTCGATCTTCCCCTTGAAGTGCCTTTACTGCCAATGGTCCACCTCCCTGATTTCCAGGCCTCGTAGTGCTCGAAGACGGTCGGACTCGGTGCATGAGTTGTTCAAGTTCAGCGAGCAAATGCTCAGCATACGTCCGAACAGTCTCCTCATTGGGGATGGTATCAAGCTGCAAGGTGTTTTTGACCAAGGCACATCTGAATTGCAGATCCGGTTGTTGAGTGAGGATCCGCTTGCTAAGTTTGTTGATGCCCTTCATGAGGATGATCGCATCAGGGAGATTCAGGCCAATGTCGGTGGTCCTCCTGAGCCAGCGCATCCAGCGTCGGAGCCCCATGCAGGCTTCGCTTGGCGACCCTGCTTCTGGCGGATCTTCAAGTTGCCGCAGGATGATGGTGCGCTCATGAGCACCCCCTGGTTGATAGAGGACCATGAGTTTGCTCACCAGCCCCAGCGGTGACAAAGTCCTCGTTGCTACCAGTTCCTCCTTCACTGTCGTGGGAACTGAAGAAAGCAGCATGCTGATGGCCCTCTTCTCCACTCGAGCCCACTTCGGCTTTTGCAACTCAGCAGACGGCTCGATCTTGGATGATGCCCGCTGAATTGGACGAAGCTTGATGTACTGCTTGTACCAGGCCCTTGCTTCGCTCACCACCAACTCCCACCACTCGCCTGACGAGTCGCTAAGATCTGTCATGGCCGGTTCCACCATAGTGAGCCAGTCAGCAAGGTCGATGGGAGCCGTATCGGATGGCTCTGCCAGGACTGGGAGTGTGGCCGTCCCCGGCTTGACCGACTCCGGTCCTTCTTGCTTCTTGTCCTTGTCGACCAGGTAGGTGATCAGCATAGACATCGCATCAGCCATGCCACCACCGCGCTCTCTTGATTGTTCCTCCCGAACATTTGCAGTTGAAGATCGACCAGGCTGCTCGGCTGTGGCTTTCTTCTTTGGCTGACCCACACCTTTCCCGGTCCCTTGTCTCCCTTCCGGTTCGAAGCCCTTCGCCCGAGATGCCACCAAGCCCTCAGGTTGACCTCCTCCCTGACGTGCAGTTCTCGGACCTTGAGATCTCGACCTCTCTCGTTGTCCTTGCCCCCGACCACCTCGCTTTGCTGGCGCCGGAGTGACCGTCCCCATCAAGGATTGGAGCTGCTCGAACTGTTGCATGGGAGTCAACTCATACAGCCGGCGTCTTTCCACCTCCAAATCTGTCTCTCTCAGAGGTTCGTCGACCGTCAATTCCAGCTGACGATTCACAGGCTCATCGCTTTCTGGCGTTCTGAAGGCCTGCTGCTCCAGCTCACGTTGTAGGTCATGGACCTTGGCTTCCAGGCTTGCCCTCTGGTACTTCATGGCGTCCATGAGCTCTGCCTGCTGAATCTGCAGTTGCTGATTCTCCTGCTTCAACATCGCCAACATGGTCATCATCTCCTGTGGATTCGGTGGACCAGGGCCATAGGGATGCAACTGAACTTGCCATCCTCCTTGATGCGGCATAGGTCCCCTCCTCTCTTCATGGGGCATGATGTACCCAGGTGGGCCAGTTTGTCCAAAGCCTCTTGGAACATGTAGACCTCTTCCTCCAGGCCCGTTCCCTTGGATCTGAACCACCGATTGCTCTCTAGGTTGGGGAGGTTGCCGCCCATCGCTGTCACTTTCAGGCTCTTGTACTTCAGGTACCCGTGGTTCTCTTGTTCGTCCACGTCGCTGGTCATCTGGTACATGGTCGCCCACCAGTGCCGGTGATGGTGTCCCCGTCGTCGTACTCGTCTGTGGAAGCACTCCCACTGAACCCTCTTCTTTCGGTAGGAACGTGGGTCTCTCTTTCTGCACCTCCTCTGGCGACCTGTTCCCCAGACCAGGCTGCCAGATGCTCTGCCTCGGGACTTGAGCATATAGGTGAGGAGCTTGGCTCTGCACTTCATGAAGTCCCTTCAACTGTTCCGGCGTGAAGAGTGGGGTCATCGGCGTCAAGGTCGTAGGTGGTCCCTTCGGGCCTTCCAATGTCTCCTCCCCCCCCAACATCTTCACCATCCTCCAGAGCAAGCTGCTCTTCTTCCAGCTGCCGATCATGTAGTGGGAGGCCTTCCGGATCGGCTTCTTCTCCTTCTCCATCATCGCCAGGTTGCCGTCTTCGTCGGCGAACCATCATGGCCATGGCTTCCGCTTGCGCAGGGCGGCCCAGCGATCGACCTCCTCAAGCTGGGTCTTACACCTTCAACCTTGGGCTCATAACCTGAAGGTTTCAGCCTGAAGACCTTTTTCAGGCTTGTGCAAAAGCGGCTTCCAACCGTCTCAGTTGGGTTTGTTTCAAGTGTCCGTTTTGGTACACCTTTCGTTTTGTGCGTGTCATCCTTTGCGGACGTGCAGGCAGAACTGAGCCAGATCTACAAACCTACATAAACCTACCACTTTCCGCTTTGGTCAAGAGCACAAGATCTCTTCGTTTGTCTGTACATTGGATGTGGTGCGCAAGTCGAGTGCAAGGGGGGGGTCGACACAACGGTGATCAAGAATTCACATCACTTAGAAAGGTCCTTTGCACTCCCAAGGTCCGGGGCAACCCACAGCAACCTGCCAGCACCAGGTTCCTACAGGTGGTTTTTTTTAAAAGCTTTCCCTGACCATGTCAGACGAACGCCCACCATCCAATAGCCATCCAAACTGGGTGATGGACTGAGTTTGAGTAACTTTGAGTGACGAACTATCAACCTCTTAAAAGCCACGATTCCTGACCAGCAGGCATGTACTGGAAGTTCTCAATTTCTAGTGATCTAAGTGGATTTATTTATGGGCACTAGTGGGCAATCTCTGAGGTAACAGCACTCTGGAACCATCTTTCGTACACAATGCTTAGGAACAAGTCATAGAGAGATGTCCGCGAGCATGGTTGACTGAGGGATGGCCTTCATTCAAGCAGCAAAAGTGTCAAAGTTGTTTTTGGGGCAGCCCTAGGCCTCCAAGTACCTTCTGACAAGGTGTTTGGTGTGGGTTTGGAGGGTCCAAATACCTTCTGAGGAGGTACTTGGAGGTGTAGGGAAGGGGGGCATTCACTAGAAAACCCATTTGTCCTTTGGAGAAAGCCATCCGTTTCACCACGCTGGTCGGAGTTTTGGGCCATAGCCAAGTCCTTCTTTTCTTTCATCTACCAGGAGACACAACGTGGGGTGCTGGTACGTGGTGGTACGGCTTTGTCGGAGTATGTGTCCGGTATCTGTCCAAACAGACCACCCTTGCAGAGTGTCCAAACAGGTCCAAATACACAACTCCTTGGGTTCTCCTGCTAGACGACCTTTCTTTCCGGTCCTAAATTCAAGCATGAACTGCTTGATGTTTCTCACACGATCTATTTGTAGGTGTCGCTTCGACATGGGTCGCCTTGTTTGAAACCTGGGCTGTAGTGAAGTGAATAAAAACACAGAATCCGTCTCAAAGATGAAACTACAACCCAGGTGTGTGTTCACTCCCGAAATTCTGTACCTCACAGCCATCTGCAGCTACAAAGATCGAGGTTCAGCAAGGGTTTTGAACAGCAACGTTTCAGGACATCAATCAGCTTCCACATATGGATACCTTCTCAAAAACCACGTCCACTTCTATTTGGATATCCTCCAACACTCATAGTGCACATGGAAGTTGGCCTATTGAGGGTCCGAGGGAAAAGGACATTCAACCTCAAAGGTCTGCACTTACTGCCATCGACTGCCGATGCTGGAAAGCATAGACAAACGCTTTTTGGGTGGCTAAGGCTATAGCTCTTCTTGAAACAAGGATACACGTACTCCTTGAAAATCATCAGGGTTTCGGTCTTCGCATGTGACGGCCACTTGTTTGGTATTCAGAACATGGCCCGATTTCGTCGGTGCCATGTCATCCACTTGCACCATGACAGTCAGGTCATTCATAAGCAATTCTCGGAACCCTACAAGGCTAAAAGGTAGTCTCCAGGCTGGCATCGAAAGGAATGAACAATCCTCACTTCACAACCGCTACATCCAGATTTGTTTCGGGACCTGGAAAGACCCAGGTGATTTTGTGTTTTCCCTATATGGTTAAATCCTCCCTCATACCTGGGGAATCGTGGGGAAGATGTGTGTTTTCCTTCTTCTTCTTCTTCTCAGGGTTCCTGGGAGCTGCAAATCCAAGAAAATGCTGATTCTGAACCTCAAGATCAGTTTGTTCCGGAAGGAGCTTTTTACTCTTGCAGCACCTTGACTCCTTGTGTAAGGTGGCTTACGAGGTGGGACCTGGCCAAGCATGAGTTCACGGCCTGGGTTTGAACTCAAGGAGCAGCTGGAGTAGCTCCACAAAGTCAGACACAACTTGAAAAAAGACACATTTTTTGGGGGGTGACTATAGAAGGTACACCTTGAAGTTTTTGAGAAACACATATTAATTCGATACACCATGGGTGAACTCTTTGGCCAGCTGCTCGGCTGCTCGGGGCGATTGAGTCGTCTGCCCCGGTGGCGCCACCGAACCGGAGAAAGCTCCGGCGGCTCGGGGGCAGTTTTGGGGAGCTGAGCCTTGGAGACGCTGAGGCTCGGGTCCGATCTGTGAGAAAAAGGGAGGGGGGTTGATTTCCTATGGGCTGGTTTTGGGGATCCCTTCTAGCAAATGGAGGTTGCCCTGGGTCGTGGTAGAATGTGACGGTTGAAGATTGTTCAACCACCCAGGCCTGAAGAGGTTTTACAATCCAAAGGGTGTTTAGTAGAGTGTTTTTGTTCAATCAACAGCATCATTCGATGGTAGAACATGGTTAGTTAATTTTTTCAAGGAATACTCCCCAACAAAAAACAGTAACCATTTTATATATTTGTACCATTTTGATGAATGACCCTTTACCACTGATCCTTCTGTTGAAAAAGCATCTATGTGACTCGCTACACCTGGAAGGCAAGGCAGTCACCACGCCCTAGAGGATAGCATTCTCATCACTTCAGCATACTATAGCTATAGGTGATGTGGGTCGAAACCTGATGACAAAGCCTGGTGTTCATGGCTGTGGGCCATCTCTACCCATGAAAGTCTCCAAGACGACTTCACAATGAATGGATCTGCCTCACCTCCTCTTCCACCTGCACCACCCTGCTCGGCTTGGTTCCACCATGTTCCGGCAAGCTCTACTTGCTCGATCCTTGAGCCATGTGTGTTTCCTATACCCGGTGTTTTCAGACGTCGGATCTCCAAAAGGTTCGGAAGATCAGACGACCAGAGCAGTCCACCTGGAGGATCGGCGCGGGTCAAAGGCGCTCGCCAGGGATTGCATTGGCACCCAAAAACCCCCGAAACAGGACCTCAACAGCGGCGAGGATGACAGGTCTCATTTGCAGAACCGTTGGAGCTGATGTGGAACTCATTTCTTGATCATCTTTGAGTTCTCACAAATCTGGACCCGTCTTGGCTCTCCAGGCTCGGTGAACATCTGGGTGGTGGTTTCAGATATTTGAATTTGTATGTTCAACCTTGGGATGCTTTTTCACCCACTGACGGAGTTTTTTGTTTTTTCAAGTGAGTTGAAACCACCAACCTCAAATTCGGCGACATGCAAAGTTTGCAACATTTCGCACGGCGGTTTCCAGCTTTCGAAGGACGTACAGGCCACTTAACGAGTTGGGCTGCCCGGCATGCCGTGCAGAAGTTCTGAAAACATGTCAAGCCTCGCTGGGGACTGCAGTCTGAAGAGCTGCTTTCTGCTATCTTGTGGGGGGTCGCCCTAGGGCTCCTCAACCATATCCTCAGGTTCGTTGGTTAGAACGCCCTGGCACCCACTCCAACCACCTTCGAGTCCTACCTGTTTCTGATTCATGTGGAGTTGTCCATGCATGGGTCGACTTATAACTTACTCTGTAACATCTTACAACCAACTTGGGATCCTGCGATTGAGGGCTTATGCAAAGCACGCACTACGAGGATTCGGTTCACTTCCAAAGGGCAGGCTTCGCCAAGCATCCCATTGCAGGCTAGGCACAGGCTTGGCAACACACCCGCTCCAACCTCACGAGCCCATCCTGCACCGGCACCCGTCACCACCTACCAGGTCCACTTTTAGGTCGTCTCCATTTCAGCAAAAGCAAGAATTGGAGACCTCGGTCGTATCTATATATAGTAGCTTCTTGTTCGGAGTATTTCGGAGGCCATGGCCAGTAATGCAAATATCCATCCTCAGACTTCTCAGTGTTTCCACGGACCATCTCCCTCCCAACATCCATCTCCTCGCTTTCTTCGGCTCTTTCTTTGGCTCATGCCTCAGCGTTTGGGAGTGCTCCCAGCGGAGCGCGTTGGGAGTCCAGTCGGGGGGGTGGAAACGGGGGAGGACGGTGATGGGCGATGTGTCGATCCATCCCCTACCCGGCCAGTGGATCACCTTGTAACGAGCCGTCCAGTCCACCCAAGATTTTGGGTGGTTTGGGAGATTCTTTCTGCGCTAGCGGCTAGGGTCACAGATAACGAGAAAGTCAAGAAACATGGAGATCATACACAACCTTTATCTTTATACTACATTGGGATGATTTTTCACCCACTGATGGACTGACCGAGTGTTTACTTTTTTCAAGTGACTTGAAACCACCAACGCAGTTAACCCTTTTGGGGTGATCGATGAACCAGCAGCTATTTTCCAGGGAAATGGCTAATGTCCGGCTCGAGAGTCAGATCCAGCTATAGCTTATTTATATTTGTTTATTTCATCACCTGAATCCGGAGCAACCATTGTTTTACTGAGGATTTTCACACTACAAACCCAGATCGTTCCCATTTTGAACGTGGTCGACTGGACTTCGGTCTGGATGGGAGTCCGCCATCGCGTCACGGCCGGAGGTTCCCTCGACGCGCTTCACCGGGGTTCATCGGGTCGTCCTGGTCGCTGAAGAAAGAGCTGAGGTGTTTGAGGTGTTTGACCTCACACCCTAAGGATCCAAGTACCCTCTGAGAAGGTGTTTGGGGTGGGTGCCAGGAGGGTCCAAGTACCTTTTGAGGAGGTACTTGGATCCCTAGGGACACATACTCTGCCCTGGGAGAATGGTCAGACTATAAAAAGAATGGTCTGACGACTGGGGAACTGAGTACGGGAACTTCCTGAAACCTTCAGCCGGTCAAAATATCATCGAACTCAACTTCTAGGGATCTGTGTATGGAATAGTCATGGTGGGCATTTTGATGGGGTAAATGTATGTACACTCCGACGAACACATCACATGGAAGTGGAGTTCACCCCCCCTGTTTGTAAAGGAAAGTCGTCTTCCAAGAGAACATGCCATCCACTTCCATGTTATAAGTGAGTCGAGGGGACACTCATCGTTCGCTTTTCACTCATGGCACTTGGCCGTTGAATAGATCCTCCATCACAGGGCTTGGACCTTCTCCACCTTCAACGCAGGGGAAAACGGGCCCGGTTCCCAAACCCTATACCAGGACCCTCCAAGGGGTGTCTATTTATAGCCCCTTAGCCGGTAAGGGGTGTCCATTAACCACCCCTTGAAGGCCCTGGTATGTGTTGGTGAAGGAGCCCGGATTCTGAGTGATCAATTTCCTCTTCGGTGACCAAGACGTGCTGCATGTGTTTTCGTCGAAGTGGACGGACATACCTGGACCATCCCAGATCGTGCCGGTGGATCCTCCAGCCAAGGACACCCAGGTCTGGGATGGTCCTGGTAAAGATAGGTTGGACGTAAAGGCTTTGAGCCGTGGCTGCGTGGTTGCAGAATGAGTGCCTTGATCACTTACCATTGGAAGAACGGGGAGCTGATTGGAAGAAAACACTGGGTGCCTTTCACTTCTAAAAAAGCTGCGAAGAGCATCCAATTATCCAATATCCCTTCTTTTGGACCTTAGATAAATTAAACGACAGGTCAGGTCTGTTCAAACCCAAACAACCAGAAACAGTTCTGGTTGTTCCAATATGTCCAGGGCTCCAACCACCTCCTGGGAAGGTTTTTGGGGTCTAACAACCTTCTCAGGATGTGGGCCAGGAGCCCTAGGGTACTGCAGACAGTGGCTGAGACTGGTGGAGTTCCATCCAGGCTGCTTGGTCTCAACAACACGCTGGGCCGGCTTCACACCTCCGCCACGCGCCACTGGAGGCGTTCCGTCCGTCGGTCTCAGGTGGAATCTCCGTGGCCGCTCGCGCGCTTTGGCGCGGCCCATGGAGGAGGCGCGGGAGACGGTCGGTCGGAGACGGGACCGGTCGGGAGACGGTCGGAAAGCAGGTCACGGATGAGGTATCCTGGACCTTGATTCAAGGGGTGTCCTGTCTGGAGGTCCCTGTAGGTCGCGGGCTGGGGCGAAACCAGCCAGGTGACCCCGACATGAAGGTGCTGGAGACGATTTGTTTAAATGCTTTTTTTTTTGGAAAGGGATGCAACCTAACCATCATCCACTATTAGGAATGGGAGATACCCAAGGCTTCA